CCTTCTCTTCCACAGCTGCCTCTACCTGCTCTTCCGTGGCTTCTGCCTTCTCTTCCGTAGCTGCCTCAACTTGCTTTTCTGCTGCTTCTGCCACTGCCTCCTCTACCCGCTCTTCTGTGGCTTCTGCCACTGCCTTCTCTTCCACAGCTGCCTCAGCTTGCTTTTCTGCAGCTTCTGTCACCTGCTCTTCTGCCAACGCCTCCTTTTCCACAGCCACCTCTGCCTGCTCTCCTATAGCTTCTGCCACTTGCTCTTCTGCCACTGTCTTCTCCTGCATATCTGCCTCTACCTGCTCTTCTGCCTTCTCTTTAAGCTGTGTCTCTATGCCAGCAATTGCTTCTTCTCTTGTTTTTCCTCCCATCTCCACAGCCTCTCCTTCTGTTTCCTTCCCAGCTTCACTCAGTACTGGAGACTCTTCTGCAGATTTTTTGGATTCTTCCTTTTCCCCCATGGCGTTATATACCTGCTCTCTCAACTCCTCCCTTGCTTCTTCTACATAGTTAAGGAAGATGAAGCATAAACATTTCTTCGAGTTTAGTGATAAAAGCATTAATGGAAATTGAAAATACCACCCTCAGACCCTCCAATGTGTGTGTATAGCACATGTTCCTAAACTCGATTCTTTTTTAAAATCTAAAGAAGCTGGGTCCCAAGCAACAGACTCTGGGAGATACTACGGTCTTGTAAATGACCACTCAAGCAATATACAGTTTTATGCATTAGCATTTTTAGTCACAGCTGAGCAAGAGATGCCAAGTTAAATCCATTTGTCTAGATGGATAAAAACCTCCTTGTGCAGTAATCCTCTGCAATGTACTATAGAATGAAAACTGCCCTTGAACTTTTACAGAGAGGACAGTTTGGTGAGTCTGACCCAAAATAAATTCTCCCCTTATGACCAACTTAAATGAATGACACTACATGCCACTGTACTGCTGCAAGTGCACAAAGCAGTCCTAGCTGGCTGAAAGCTTAGAACAGGAAAGGAAGTTTGAGTGTAATGCCTCACAATTGACAAATGTTGTGACCCCTTGACTCAAAACTAGTGTGAAAGAAGAGTTTCTTGCAAAATAAAAAAATCTTTTAGCTAGTTTTGGGAAAAAATTATAGAACAAGACTCTGCCACCTACTAAAAGTTTTGGTACAAAGTTTCAGATCATCTAGGGCAGCAAAGTAAAGAATCCAGGTCCAATATTTACACAAGGCAATACAGCTTGGCATCTCTACGGCATGTTAGACAGCTCTACATACCATCTATGTTATCAGCATTTTCTACCATTGAGTCATCTTCTGCTTTTTCTCCTTCTTCTTCTTCCACTTGCACTCCTTCCAAGGCATTTCCCAATACACCATTCTCCATTCTAGAAAAACAGAAGCAAGTCAACTGCACACAAGCACCAAGGAATACATTTTGTGCTCAAAGGAACATAGCATTTGACTGCTCTACCTAGCACCTCTCCCACCTACAGGTATTCTACTGTACCCCCATTCTAGCCTACAAAAGCCTCCTATTCCAGGCCAGACTCTTGATTTCAGTAGATACTGAGCATCATGCCATACGTGTGTGGCAAGAGGACATGGTGATGATGCTCTAAAAATATTTAGGATAGATGGACTGGTGCCCAGTGACTCTGGTTAGACTTTTACTAGTGATCTAGGTAAGAACAGTTCCCTTTTGCCTGCCCCGTCCTACAGATTATATTTCTCCTATTTTTCCTTGAGGACAAGAGTTCGATCAATAACCTACCCCCTTATTCTAATGCCCATTCCCCACCTATAGGGTACAGCTACCGCATTTAAAATTTTTATTTTTAAGAGAGGCAATTACATTTAACTGTTTCATCCAAAAGGCTCCAAACTAAAATTTTCAGTTGCTACTATCAAAAGTACTCCCCCACTTGTATCCCCTTTATAAAGAAATTAAAATACCATCTTAAGATGTCAAAATCCAGGAAGAGGTATTCTATGTATTCAGAGGACTGATAAGCCAACTAGAGGGTGTTTGTTAGTATACCTTGCTAACTCCAGGAGAGATTTTCCATAGTAAAAAAAAGCCTCGGCACATTGATCTGCTGTCTCGCCATACTTTTTACCCCTACAAAGTAAGATAGAAGTTAATACAGCTTATTTGCACCATGTTTTGAAATACCTTTACATTGCCAGATATGCAACATTTAAATCTTTTCTGGGTGGCCAGGTCAATTTCCAAGCTGTTACCTCCCATGTGACCTCCACCCTTAGGCAAATGGCAGTTCTCTCCCTTCTGATAACTGGAATGGTTTCTACTGGAAGTTCTGGTTGCTTAGAGCACCTGATAGTGGGTTTTCAAGACTGTCTTCTGTTCTAAATGCTCTTTTCCTCTAGAGGCTAAGCAATTTGTCTCTGCTTTGCTTGCAATTTATAGATTATGTTTCTCTAGTGGTTAGACTAAGGAGATTTGCATTGCAGAACATTCCTTATTTTGCAATGTATGGGCTGGTTTGGTTTCTTGATATGTTGATTTCTGAGGCACTGTAGGTCACTACTCCAATAGTTAATACATTATTTGTGCTGCTTAGACACTTATTTTAAAAGAAATCTACATAGACATGGTACAATCCTCAGTTTTGCAGGTAATTATATTCAGATACTTGCAAACTACCTTTAAACACAGCTTATCTAGGCCTGAGTTAAGTTTCTACATTTCAGCTTGATTCACTTCAGTGATGTGCCCAAAACGAGAATCCAAGTAAAAAAAAAATAACGTGTTCAGTTACTTACAATATACTAGCAGCTTCCTGGAATGCATTAACAGCTGCTGGAATATTTCCCAATACCAAGTGTTTCTGTCCTAAGCCCAGTAGTTTCTTGGCTTCTCCATCCACATCCATACTGTAAAGTTATAGAACACAGGCTGGGTTAGTCACTGTACAGTTGTGAGAACATCTCTAAGTGTACAAACTGGAGGAATGTTTGTAGCCCCCTTCTGTTCAGTCACACACTTCCATTTCCCAGAATCTTTAAATCCAGCCTTCTGACTCTGCCCACCAAGAGTCAAACATCACCCAGCAATGTGTACAGAAGTGCTAAATAGTGAGCCTCCCCACACATGATTATTCAGTTACTGTTGGAGAACTTTCATGAGCACCAGGACTAAAGGGACAAAGATTTTTCCATTTCTCACATTAGAATATATTTAACCATTAACTGCAAGAAGCAGATCCCAGAAGCACATCAAAGAAAGACTGCTTAATGCAATAGCCAACTTTCAGTCTGCTGCTAAGTCAGAGGCTTATATGCACAACACTCCAATATGAGAAGAGTTGTTTACATTGAAAATGTGACAGAAAACTGTATGAAGTCCTGCAGAAAGAAGGGGACAGTTCATGAAGACACGAAGCTCACCTGCATGAAAGTGGAATGTTGGCCTATAATCACCCATTAAAAAAACCCCATACATTTGTCATGCAGCCATGCCTAGAGCAAACTTTTGTGCTACAGCTACCAGCAGAAGGAATCAAAGGCTGTTAATACAGTGTTTCTCTGGAATAAGGACTTAACCGGTGTTAGCCCAGAAAGGGGGAACAGAAGAGTAATCCTAAACTGTGGTTTCTTGTAAGTCAACATGAGACATCTATAGCCTTTAATATCTAGAGCGAAGCACAATGTCAGATTTAAATATTAATTTGAAATAAGATCCACTATTACCCTATTTTTTTGTTTGCCAACCTTAGTCTGCTAACTCACAAATCCCTTACCTATCAGTTTTGTCTGCAGAAGTGGAGGGAGCAGCCAATTCCTCTTCCATTCTACAACTGAAGATTCAACAAGCAATTAGAATGTATTTGCAGTGTTGTACATGGTGTTACCAAATGGTGACGAAGTGACTAGAAGTTCACATTTCCAGAATCAGGAATAGGAGAAATCTAGTGCACAATTTCAGACTTCTGACTTTCCAGAATAGGTATCTGCAAGCTTGCTTACACTGTGGACCATACTGTAATTATAGCAGATCAGAAATTTATGTAGCAAATTGACTTTTCATCAATAACCAACACTTCAGTTTTCCCCTCCCAAACAAAAATTGCTGATTTTCTAATAAGAAAGTAAGTAGGGAGAACCAGACCCTTTTCACATAAGTTTTTCTTTAGTTAAAAACCCAGTTTTCTGTCAAAGGAAGTTGAAAAAGATTTTGATCAGCCCTAATTTTAAGACGAGGTAGTCTTGGACTGCTGGCTAGCTCACCCATTCATGAACACCTCCCATCCCACTCAGAATCAACTGCATAACACCCATGTCAACCACAGCAACTGCTTACATGGGAAATAATGAATACGTTTTACCTATCTTAAGGCAGCTTTGTAGCTGGAAATAGGAAGCCAGCATCATGCATGTAGCTAGCTCTAGCCCACAGGACCACTATTCTGGAGTTTAGGAAACATCTCATCTAGTGCTTAAAAAAACAAAAAACAAACAAACAAACAAAAAACGAGCACTAAGTTTTCCTATGCATCTTCTTAGGATGGACTCAAGTGCCATTCTCACTTTGAAAGTACACTTCCCCTCCCACACTACATCAAGTGTAGCAGTATAGATTGCGAATAGATTTTTTTAAAAAGTGCTTTTCGCTTTAAATAATCTGAGGTTTTTGTCAGAAGAACTTAATGTGACAATAGCCCTTAAAAGAGAGCACAGTAGTTGAGGTAGCCGATGCAGCCTGTTTCCTACCTCTGGCTCGAAGATAGGATTACAAAATGTGCCCTCTTTACTATGAGCCATCACCCAGCAGGACCACATGGAGCCGAGTCCTAATAGCCAGAGGAGCTACATTAGAGTATGTCCTAAGGAGAGGGGACAGCACGTGCTAAGTGGGGATTTGCTAACAAGGCATGCTGCTTTGTATACACAATTCAGTTAGGCTCAGCGCCTTTCTTTAGGCCTGGCTGCACAACATCGCATCTGTTTACTTTTACCTACCTGCACAATTTAAAACCCAGGTTAGTTAAAGCAATTAGTGCAGTTTTGTGATTTGACACTCACAGGTTTCAAACAAAGGAAGAGCATCTAAACAGTGTTGCACCAAAATAACCAATCTGGTTTTAGGAAGCCAATTCAGATTACATACAAATTTGTAAGTAGACAACCCTTTCAGTGACACGGGATGCTATCTAGGTACTTATACAGCTCTCACTGCCACAGTATCTCAGTTATTAATGGACTTTATCATCCCAACACAGAGATAAGGAAGTAGTATTCCAGGTAGGGAATGAAAACACAGGGCACATTCACTCATACATGGTCAGATGGGAAATTTGTAGGGGAGATGAGAATGAACTCAGCTCTCCAGTGCCCCACCCACTAAACCAGCCTTCCTAACCCATGCTGTACAAGTTAGGGTAGTTATTTTGTAGAGAACTACAGCCGTACCTGGGGCTGCAAGTACAGAGATATATGTGTGGCCTGTGGGTATGGTACCTACACCCTTGAATTCCAAATCCTACACTGCCCCCGGGCTTGGGTAAGTCATTTAAAGTCTGCCCTTCAGAACTCCTGACTTCTAGAAAAGGGATCCTAGGGACCCCATATAAAGGGGTAGCTGAGACTCAGCCCATTGGTGTTAATCACTTATACAGCCCCCACCCCCGCCCCCTTCGCCTGGCTATGCCAAGCACTGAGGCATCTTCACAATGAGCAGGTCACAAAGTCAGGCTCCTATCAAAGCCAGGCCTGGCGCAGGAGTGGAAGCCATAGGGCCACAGACCAGGCAACCCACAGCCAAGGCCAATGGCTATGTTTACACGATGTAGGTCCAGTGGGGCCTCCTACCCAACCTGTGTGAGGAGACAGCACCATCAAGGGGAAATCAGTGCCACGGCCCCCCTCCCTCCAGCACTTGGGGGGGGGGGAGAAGAGAGCGAGTGTGTGTGTGTGTGTGAGAGAGACACACACTCTGCAGGCACCTCCCCCCCCCCTTGGATCTCAGGGTGGGGGATGAATGAGTAACCGCCCCCCCCCAGCACTTGGGGGGGTTGGAGGGATGACTGCCCCCCGCACCACACACCCTAGGGCTCGGGGCGGGGTCTCGCTCCCTCAGGAGGCACCGCCCCCTCACGGAGACAATAGGCCCTTTTCCCGCCTTTCCCCGGTCCGACCCCGCCCCCCGTTTGGCGCCAAGTCCCAACGGCGGCCGCTCACAGGCAGCCGCCGAGGACACGTGACGCGGATAGCTCCGCCCCCCTCCGCGCGGCAGGTTTGCCTTGTCGGGCGTCTCTTGCCCCCAACAAACATGGCGGAGCCGGGGCCGGGTCACGTGGGATGCCCCAGCGTTCCGAACGGGCCCCCGCCGGCGCCCGAGGAAGGGGCAGCACGCACCGCCAAGCGGGGAGGGCGGCGCGCGCTGAGGGGGGAGCGGGCCGGAGCGCGGGTCTCCGAGCACAGCCGTTCCCAGGGCCCCTCCCCCGGTCACTCCTCGCCCCGTCCCTCCTCGCCCCGGCGGCGCGGAGTCACGGCCCTGCTGGTCGGCTCGCGCTACCGCCCCCCCATATCCAGCCCCCCCCGCTCGGCCCGACCCCCCCACAGCGAAGCAGGGCCGGCCCACCCGTGCCGCGGTACCTAGGCGGGGGGCCTGGCGCGGGCTCGGCGCGGGCGGCAGCAGATTTCATGGAGTCTGACAGGGGCGACGACGGCAGAGTGCAGCCCCCGGCCCCTCCGGCTGCCTATATACCCTGAGGACACGCCCCGGACCCGCCTCGCGGCGCGCGCAAGCCCCGCGGACTGCTGCTCCCAGCGTCCTTCGCGGCCGGCGAGCGCAGCCCCCTCCGAACCCGGGGCTGCACGGCAATGCTGGGAAACGTAGTCCCCAAGGCGCGCCGCCGCGTGACCGGCGCACGGCCCGCTGGGAAAGGTAGTCTAGAGGCGGCCGCGCAGCTTGCTGGGAAACGTAGTTCCGCGGAGCCGCTGGCGACGCGGGCCGCAGAGCATGCTGGGAAACGTAGTCGGGGGGGGGGTACTGTGCAGGAGCTGCGGCGACGCGGGCCGCAGAGCATGCTGGGAAACGTAGTCCGCGGGGGGGGGGGCGGTACTGTGCAGGCGCTGGCCCGCTGTGGGGACGGACGATGGAAAGAGAGGGGCTGCGGCCGCCGCCATCTTCCCTGCGGCCTCCAGCCTCGGACTCCTTGCAGTGCAGCGTGCAGGCCCAGTCCCCACTGGGAGCCTGCCCCCCAGGCCCTCTGCCTGCCCTAGCCAGGCCCCTGCTGCAGCCCCCCCAGCCCCGCTCCGGGGGGCTGCACTGTGCACTTTCCTTCAACACAAGCCCTGGGGTGGGACTCGCGCCCACGCGGCCCAGCCCCTCACACTGGCCGAGGCCCTCCCGCTGCAGGCGCAGGCCCCCCGGCAGGTGATCTGCTGCCGCCCCTGTGTGCGCCCCATGGCACTTCCCGGGAACGTCCGCCTCGAATGGACCCCACCAGCTGAGGGAGCACAAGCCAAGGCACTTCCAACGCTCCTTTCACGTGGAAGTGAGGTGTGCGCAGTTAAAACGTGCTAAAATAGATGAGTGGGTGCTACCCAGCCGAAGGGGGTGTTAACTCCACCCAGGGACAGCACCAGGACGGGGGCTGCCCTTTAGACAAAATGTACGCCACCACCTTTCCCAAGCTGAAGAGCCCTCCTGCTACCCCAGACCACTAATATTTTGCTCAACAGGCAACAGCAGTCATAAAAAGTAAACAATGTTCTACAACGCATAAAGAATAGAAGTGAACATTAAAATAATCCCATCATATAAATCAGAGGTGGGCAAACTACGGCCCGCAGGCCACATCTGGCCCACGGGACCGTCCCGCCCAGCCCTTCAGCTCCCAGCCAGGGAGGCTAACCCCTGGCCCCTCCCCTGCAGCTTAAGCTCACCATGCTGTCAGCGCTCTGGCCTGCCGCTCCTGCCGGGCAGTGGGGGGTTGGATAAGCGTGGGAGTCCCAGGGGGCCTGTCGGGGTGGGGGTGTGGATAGGGGTTGGGGCAGTCAGGGGACAGGGGGTCTGATGGGGTGCGGTCCCGGGAGGGGGCAGATAGGCTGTTTGATAAATATCTATGAAGGAAGGGTGTGTCCCCACTCAATACAAGCCTTCTTGCTTTGGGGTATAAACTGTGGGTTAGGAAGAAATTTGGCTACAGGCTGCTTATTCCTTAGTTATCTAATATGGTGTTCCTTGCATTTTCCACTAAAGTACCTGGTACTGGTTGGGGTAATAATAGCTTTTTTAAAATGCTTTAATTAGGTTTCTGGTATTTGCAATTTTCTACATCTAGGTCAAGCCATAAACACTAAACTAATTCTTTATGAGCATACAATTACCAAAAAAGGGGAAAGAATACATGTAGATTAAATAATTTTCCTTGGAAAGATGTTAGTGTTTAAAGAATAGTATACATAGTACTTTCAACTATAATATCTGCAAAGAGAAGAATCGATAAAAGAAACTAGTACTTTACCAATCAACAATAAGAACACATTGTAATAGTTATCCATGTTTGATTAACCTAGAACAGTAATTAAAACAGAGGTTCTTGAAGTCAAGACAACACAGAACAGGAATAGTATGGCTTCATCTTCAACTTGTACAATTGTTTGCTAAAGACAATGTCTGGTTTCTTAGCAATTACATTAATGCAGGAAAGCACTATAATTTACGTACTGTGGAATAGTGAAAACTCTCCATCCTTTACAGTTCAAATGAAGATTGGATGTCTTTCTAAGAGATATGTTCCAGTTCAGCCACAAACTGTTAGGTTCAATGCAGGAATCATTGGATGAAACTTTAATGGCCTCTCTTATGCAGAAGGTCAGACTACATGATCATAATGGTCCCTTCTGGCCTAAAAATCTATGAATTGGTGTGACGCCAAAATTTGTTAAACCCAGCGTTATCTTTTTACCATTTTTATACACAGAATCACACTTTCACTTCTCGTTTTCTTTGTCTAGTACTATGGAAAAAGAAATGAATTACTTTTTACCTACTAGCAGTTAAATTATTTTTTTCCTTACAGCTAATGACAGTGTCCAAGTGGCAAGCTCAAACATTTAAGACAGCCCTTTGTTTTAAGTTTGACAATCCAGGCCAACATGTCCCTTTATAATGCCCTGTCTCCAGCATTGTAAATTAACTCCATTTTGCAGGTGGCGAAACTAAATAGAGAAGTTAAATGACTGCACCGTGGCTATAGAATGAATCAGTGTCAGATGGTATTAGAGAGTAAAGGATTACTGCATGCAAGTCCCATGCTTACTTCGTAAGACCATGCTGCTCCATACAAATAATAAGGAACAAAAACTAAATAATGTATTGTTAGTCCTGTCTATAGCGACTGAGCCCTTTTAAGGAAGTAGTTCTCAGTTCTATGACTGAACAAGGGATAGCTTGGCCTGGTTAGTAGGATAGCAGCTGGAGGGAGGAGACAAATCAGGCTGGGGAGCTAGGAAGGGAGAAATAGGATAATCAGCCCAAAATGAAACATCTGAAGAAGGAAGTAGACTTCCAGGGACAGTCTTAAAAAGTAAGAGCCCTGTTCAGTTTCAGGGCAAAGCTGCAAGGGTGGAAAGTTCTGCAGGCCCTTCCGGGGACTAGGGAGGCTTGAGCAGAAGCATTCAGTAGTGCTAGCACAGGGATTAAAGGAGGCCTGTGAATTCTTGCAGGGGTCCCTGGACTGAATGACAGAAGGGAGAATAATAGAAACCTGATCCCTGATGGGAAGGGGAATTATTTGTTAGAGACACTGTGAAGCCTGTATCTCATCTCTCAGGAGTGGAGCAGAACTGAATAACTATCGATATTGTGAACCCTGGCCTGAAGAGGAATTATGTGCTATATACCATGTAAAGCCTAAAGGAGGCAGCAGAGCCTCCTTGGTTTATTGTGAATAATAAGGGGACCTGAAGAAAAAGCATCAAACAGGACCTAAGGCTCAGTATCAGCACTGGTGGACCAGAGGGGAAGAAATCAAACTAGATAGAGTGGTGACCATACTATGTTTTGGCAGGAGTGGGTGCTCGGGGGGGGGTGTGTGGATTTGTTTCAGGTCCCATCATGCTAAGCATTTTACAAGCATGTAAGATAGATAGTTCCTACCCTGAAGAGCTAACAGGCACGGCGGGGAAAGGGGGGGAGGAGGAACAAAAAACAAGGTCTAGAGAGGAAGCGACTTACCCAAGGTCGTGCTAGAGGACAATAGCAGAGCCAGGAATAGAACCTAACTCTTCTGACTCCCAGTCCAGCAGCTTCTAGATTAGACCATGCTGGCGACTCAGTAAAGAAGTTGGAAGGGATCTTGTAACAGGCCCTAGCTGCACCTGTGGTATCATTAGGAACTAATCCAGTATCCTCCCAAAATCTGAATTGGATAGCTGCTGCTGTGTCTGGATTAGGTGAAAAGATAGGGCAAAGCTTCCAGAAAAGTTCCTTCAGACGCTGCCCAGGTGGGAATCTTTCAGGACAGGACAACCAGAACTTTTGTTAGATTTGAAACTGAGCGTCAAGTAGGAATGGGGATGAACTAGAGCCATGCTGTACATTTATTTTTCCATAACAGGCAAATAGAGCTAGGGAAGGAAGAGTAATCTTACAGACCCCGGTATAGCTCCAAAGAAATAAGAGAATGATATGAACTAAACTCCCTGTTATTTCAGTTTTAATCCACACACTTGTGAAAGACTTCAGAATTATTTTATGCACATATCCCAATTCAAAACTAGTGTATTATCCTAGTTTTATATTTTCAGAGTCCGTACATCTTTCATGATATAGATTCCCTCGCCTGCCCCCATGGACATCATACATTTCCTCATAGCAGCGAGCATGCAGTGTATTATAAGCATCCTCATGAGCGCTGATGTAGGTATTACATCATCTGGAGGAAGAGGATGCATTATACATAATATACTATGCTACAAGAAAACCCACAGAAACCTAATATTTAGAACATCAGATTTTATTTGGAAAGATTTTTGATAAACAATGGCAACAACTACGTTAGGAACAGGTTTCAGAGTAGCAGCCGTGTTAGTTTGTATCCGCAAAAAAGAACAGGAGTACTTGTGGCCCCTTAGAGACTAACAAATTTATTTGAGTCTCTAAGGTGCCACAAGTACTCCTGTTCTTTTTACTTTGGGAACGAGTGCACAGAGTCCTATTCTAACACCCAATTTACTGTAGTTAATAGGGGACATTGAAAGGATAAAGGGGGTGTCCAGCATCTCTTGCTACTAGTTTTCCATTCACCTGTGAAATAAAAAGACAATCTGAGTCAGAAAGATGAAAATCCAGTTCTTGCTTGAAATTAAAAACTGAACCATGCAGAATCTAGTTTCCCTTACATCCCAGTCCTTAGTAAGGATATCTTTAACAATCACTGCTCCCCCTTCTCCCCAAGGCATAGTATTACTAGAAAATCTTTTTCCAAGAGAATTCTCTGTAGCCTGCAACAAATATAACTTTCAGTGGCTAGGGCTTGAGGAATTGGATTAAGAACAATTAGGGCTCCTTATTTGCAAAATTTATCTAATAATTGCTATAATGTGTGTATTTTGCAAAGCACTTAAATTATTAATCATTGGTCTAACTCTCAACACTCCTGTGAGATACCATAGAGAAAAGTGTGGTTATGCCAGTTTGACAGATGAATACATTGAGGCAGAGAAGTTAAGTAACTTGCTCAAAGTCACA